TTTTTTTGGTTTTTCGAGACAGGGTTTCTCTGTGTAGCTTTGCACCTTTCCTGGAACTCACTTGGTAGCCCAGGCTGGCCTCGAACTCACAGAGATCCGTCTGCCTCTGCCTCCTGAGTGCTGGGATTAAAGGCGTGCGCCACCACCGCCCGGCTGAATTTCATTTTCAAATCGGGTATCAACACCATATGTCATTAAATTATCTGTGTTGTCTTAGAAAATAGTTGTATCTCCTTTGAGTCATTTGATCACAATTATGAAGCTTTTGACTTCTGCACCAGATATTTCATTAAAGTCATTCCCACCAGAGGCCTTCTATGGTGTTAGTAATTTTGGGAGAAAAAACTCGTTTTGTTTTTTCATGTTACTTGTGTTACTTCATTGAGATCTCCCCATTGGGGTTAGAATTGCTGGTTAAATTTCTATTCTTCTTGTTAGGTTGCTTCTTTTTTTTCAAAAAAAAAAAAAAAAAAGAGTTCAGTGTTCAGGAGGCAGACTAGGTTGTATACATTTGTGCTCATGCTTTCATCTATTAAACTGGTGCTCAAGGCACCAGACTCTAAGTCCAGTCTGTTCTTGTTGCTGAGCACTGTTTGAAGCAACAGTTCCTATCCAGCTGTTAACCCACTCTAATAATTGACTAGCACACAACTATAAACCGGACAATTGCTCAGTACTGATTAGCTTAGGGAGTAAGGTAAAGGATTCCTGATGGTGCTGTGCTGAATGATAGATTAGTTGTTTTGTCATGAGTGGACAGGAGAATAAAAGAAAATGAAGCATTCTCAGTGAGACTATTAACTAGTCTATTAGTCCCTGGATGGGAAGTAGAGGAAAAGGGAGAATTACTGAGACAAAAAAATGGAGAGAGGTGGAATTTGTTGGAGTTTGGTTAGTGGTATACTAAAAATAGGGTATGGATATGTATCCAGATACCATAAACCAGGTCAGCCTCTGGTCTTTGGGAGGTGTAACAGTGAGAGGAGTGGGTATAAAAAGAGACACGAAGGCAAACCAGGAAAAACAAGAAGTGAGGAAAAAATGTATGAGCAGTAGGGGGCAGTATAGGTCTGCTACACTGACCTCAAGTTTTGGTGAGGAAGAGAGCTGGGTGAAGGTGTAAGGTAATGAAAACACTGGCAGATAAATGATAGCTGTAGTGGGGAAAGAGAAGTGTAGGGTATAAGGAAATGTGATCATTTGAATCTCACTTTGTCTCTTTGGTCTGTTGCTCCAGTCCTCTGGTCCTGGTTTGAGCTATCCTCTGTACTGACTTTCACTAGTCCAGCATCCCCTGCACATAGACATTTCTTGACAGTTCTGCTCTGTCAGCTGTAGATAGCCAGCACAAACTCTGTCCTAATGCAGTCTCTGCATTCCCACAGGGTTGGAGGGGTAGGAGGTTGTGTGTGGCCCAAACCACTGTTTAGAGCTCCTGCTTAGCTTATGCAGTGTTGCCTTTCTCCATTGGGGTACTGAAGGTGGCCCTGGCTGCAGTTCCTGGGAAGCCCCTTAATCAAATTCCCTTTGGAAGAGCTCTTACAGATTTTTCTGGTAGGATTGACCTGCAGCTGTGGTAGGGGTTGCTTTGTTTGTACTTGGAGCAGGAAGTCCAGTCTCATGATAGAGGAAGTTCATGGGTCTGATGACAGAAGAGTTTTGTTGGTCCCTTGATCAAGTCAGTTTGAAGACTGAAGAAGTAGCTGTGGGAGTGATGAGATACACTTTTTATAAAGTTAAACATCTTTAATTCTTTGAGATTTTCATGCAACGTATTTTGAACTTATTTATCCCCCAACTCCTTGCAAATCCCCTTGCCTCTTTACCTACCCACTTTCATGATTTCTTCCCTCCCTTCTTCCTTCCCTCCTTTCCTACCTTCTATCCTACCTTACCTTATCAATTCTGCAAGTCTGGTTTGTGTTGGAAAAGCCTCTCAGGTGTGGGTCCTGCCCTGCAGTGTGGTCAGTACAACAGAAATCAAATTATTCCTGTTCGCACATAATATGATATTATGCACAAGAAGTCTCAAAACTCCTACTAGAGAATTACTAGAGAAACAACCATTTCAGTCTAGCCTTAGGATACAATATCAACTTATAAAAATCAGTAGCTTTTCTAAATACCACCAACAAACACACTAAGAAAGAGATCATGGACACATGCCCATCTTCTATATTTTAAATATCTCTTCCTTTGAAAATCAATTTTATCTCATAATGCTTTGTCAGGGCTTTGTTTATTATTTAACCTTACATGTATTTTGTTTATGTAGTATAGTCTCCAGTTTTGTGTTTTTTGGGATTTCTCTGTGTGGGAATGTGTGTGTGTGTGTGTGTATGTGTGTGTGTTTCTTGAGATGTTTCTTTGTCTCTTTTTCGTCTGTTTCTTCATTTGTTTGATCTTATTCCCTTCTTTTGTTTTATTTAATCTAATTTTATTTTATTAACATTATGCATTTAGATGCCTGTTTGTATCTGAACAAGAGAGAGAAAGAAAGGATGTGGATTCAGTTGGGTGGGGAAGTTGGGGAGGATCTATGAAAAGGGGAAATTATAATCAGAATACATTGTATTAAAATTTTATTTTCAGGTTAAAACATCAAGGTTACTCCCAAATTAAGAGATAGAAATACATTTCTCAGTCTCTTCCTTTTATATTTACTTTAAGCAATGGTCTATTTTTAATGTACTAGATATAATGAAGTACAGACTATGAGTCAGTGTTTATGGATATGCTCAGGAAAAAAGAAAGCAATTGATCAAAAGCACAGCAGTAGGAAAGTGTATCTCAAGACAGGCACAGTGAGAATCCATTCCTGGTGTCTACTGTGGCAGAAAAGTTGGAGGGAAGTAATTAAATCTTAAGAGGACAACTTTCCCCTCAGCCTGTGTTCTCTTCCGCTCTGTACTTTTGAGTTCTGTTTGGGGGAGTTTCCTTAAATCAGGCTGCTGATGAGACTCACCTGGGAGGATTTGCTCTTGCAATGTTTGGTTTTTCTCTTAACTATGAATTCACTGCTTTGACAGAAGGACAATATCTTCACTGTTGTTAGAAGGTTTCCATGATTCTACCATACATTTATTTACAAACATTTCATAACTGATGTCCATGTCTAAATGTCATTGTCAACTTATTTTTTCTCATTGATTCTCTTTTCCTCTTACAATTAGTTCATTTGGAAAGATTTATGTATTTTTCCTTTTCTAAAATAAAATAGCACTTTCATTCTTTTAGTACTTATGAGTTCATGAGGACAAATTGTCCCGTTTCTTCAGCCAAGAAAAGATCTACTGATAAGTATTTGATAGGCTTCACTCATGACCTGCTTTTACTTCTAAGAATACAGGACGCCTCCGTGCCTTATCATCCCTGTGCATTCTTCTTAGCCCACAGAGCTCATCACTCATACATAATTTGGAGACTTCATTGGAAGGCTCTGATTGAGGAAATAAAAGCAAGCATTGGATCAACAAAACAGCCACAGTCTTTGAACTGTTGTCCTTAACCCAAATATCTCTCTGTGTGAGGTAGGTCAAGTGGGGCTCCCAGTTAGACAGCCTTAAGTTAGGGCTTCTCCAGGTTAGTGTCCTTCCTAAAATAATGACACTGGAGGCTATTTTTTGAGATTACAGATTTAGATGTCTCCTTTTCCTCCTTTGTTCTCTCTCTCTCTCTCTCTCTCTCTCTCTCTCTCTCTCTCTCTCTCTCTCTCATACACACACACACACACACACACACACACACACAGAGACACACATTAGCAAATTTCCACTGTTAGTATTTTCCTACTTTGTTATCTATCTATCTATCTATCTATCTATCTATCTATCTATCTATCTATCTATCTTTGATCTATGTATCATCTATCTATCTATCTATCTATCTATCTATCTATCTATCTATCTATCTATCTATCTATCTTTCTGTCTGTCTATATTTAATCTCTGGGTGGTCTTCTGTGTTTTTATTTTATGACCTTATTGAATCACATTTTAGAAAGAGATAAAAGGAATTATTGCCTTAATTAGGAATTTTGTTGGATGGAAATATTTCCACAAATTCAAGAAACTCTGTGACTGATCCCTGGTTGTTGTTGTTGTTGTTGTTGTTTTTCAGCTGTCCAAAGCATTGTGTTTACCGACATTCCAAAGGTTTCTTGTGTACCTTTCATAAAATGTTGGTCTTCTCAAGAGTTACGTACATCACCTTGTCATTCCTTCTTTTTTCTGGTGAGTACATTTTCCTGTCCTGCATGATAACCTTAAGCATATTCTAAAAAATTCAGGGAGGTAAAATCTCTGAAAAACCACAGAAGAACGAATGAGTTTGCCTTACTGGGGTTGTAGTCCTTGAATGGTCATGTTACAAATGTCTCTAAAATTAGTGGTGGGTTACTTTTTCTAACTAGTCCACAATTGAGAAGTCTGCAGAGAGCAGAGGATTAGAACAGGCTGTGTGGACTTTCAGTCTCTGCTAATTTTTACTTGAGATTGCTAAGTAAATCCTATTGGTAAATGCAAAGTCAAGGCAAGAAAAATGTCTTTAAATATGGCGTTCCTGGAAACCCAATTTGTTTGACAGCCTGAGGCCCTCTAAGTCAAGCCCTAGTTAGGGGTGTTTTATCCTCTGTCAAGTTCAAGACTGACCGTGAACTTCAAAGTAAGGACTTGCAAAAGTTAACATAGAACCTTGAAATTACAGCTGGTTGTTTTTTTCCAATTAAGTGAATACATGAAAGATATTTTGAACTGAGGCCTGAGTATTTCACCAAAAAAATTATATAACCTTAATATACCCAGATCTATTAACAAAAGGAAGATGATACTTCTATATAGGAGAGTAGTATATAGTACTACTTTTCATAGAGCTGTATATATTTGGGAATTAGAATCATCTTGATTTGCATCTATTTTTAGTTAATTTTTTACAACTGTCACAATATTCCCATTTATTACTTACACCTGTAGGCAATTTACAACAATGTCTGCTACATTTAGGTGTAGGTACTTCTCACCAAATCAGTGTGGACAAGGTTGTTTTTATACATTTTTATCTTTCTTCTCTGCTCTATTTTCAGAAAGTTTCTTTATCATATCAGCATTTTTCAGGACTCATGTAAGTTACTATTACTTTATATGGAAATTTAAAAAGCAAAGTTTTCTTCTTTATAAAACAAGCAATTTAATGTAAAATTTATCAAAGAAAATAAATTCTTCAAAAATGTGTATATACCATTAAAGAATGGTATATTTTATTACAATTAGTCCAAAACATCAATCCAGTAATGCAAGAACACTTATTGTTGATCCAAGATGCAACAATTAATTAGTATCTTAATCCCAAATTCCAGCCATTGGCATTCAGATTTATAATTCAATATCTATACAGTCCAGTGGAACAGCAGAATGGTTAACTCTCCGTTAAAAAAGATGACTTCTGCCGGGCGGTGGTGGTGCATGCTTTTAATCCCAGCACTCGGGAGGCAGAGGCAGGCGGATCTCTATTAGTTTGAGGCTAGCCTGGGCTAAAGAGTGAGTTTCAGTAAAGGTGCAAAGCTACACAGAGAAACCCTGTCTTGAAAAACTAAAAAAAAAAAAAAAAAAAATGAGTAGAATGTTACATTTGAAAATAAATGATTTGTCTCTCTAAATATCAATATATCTGTTTCTCTGTGAGTATGTGCAAAAATTGAATCACATACATGCTATATATACATGTATATATAATTACTTTCTTTGTATAAATTACCAAAGTATCTAAAATTGAAAATCTGTGTTATGAGCACACCCATAAATGAGATGTATTGACACATAAATACATAGTAAATATGTGCATTGAATTGCAGAGCACTTATAGAGGAATAAGAGATAATCAATAAAAAATTCAATTTGGTGATGGGAGGATGAAGGGAATGTTGTCTGGTGGGGAATCTCAGATGTTATAATGTGAGTTGGCTGCTTTACAAGATTATGTTACACCAGCTTTGTGGTATTCTTATTAGTAGAGGCTTACAAACTAAAAATATAATAATTATTTTCAAGTGGATTATATGTGTTATATGTCATTTACATCTATGTGTAGATTATATTTAAACTCTTTTGTATGGCATTACATACTAAGTGTGAAGAACATTTCATTCAATAGCCCATCATCTAATATGTTTCTGTTTTCTTTGTGTATTTTTCAGTCAATGTGTAGAAATTTTGTTCCTTATATGACTTGCCCCAAAGAGAATAATCCTGTCTGTGGGTCCAATGGCCATACTTATACCGGCAGATGCATGTTCTGTAAAGCATACAAGTAAGAATACAATACTAGATACAAGTTCTTCCTAAGTAATGAAGACTTAGTAGCATAATCTAGATTTATATTATTGATGTTCCATGCTCATATTACACAGAAAAAATTACTCTACCAAACCAATGTGCTATGAAAGACAAAGAAACACATGTACCTCCCTTTAATATTGTGACTTTTGAAAGTGCCTTTTGCATTTGGTACTTAAGAATATACTTTGTTGAACACTGTACAAACAAACGAATCAGTTCACTTAATTATTGGGAATTACTAATTGCAGATGTGTAAACATTATGAGACAATTCTAAAGACCTGATGCTCAATGTATCTCTGCTACAGTCTGCAATCTATCATGCCAGAAAGGAACTCCCTGGAAGGATCCCCTGAATTCCATGAAAGATTTTATACCACAGGATGTTCTAGGATACCTCCATCCAATATCCCTATCCTTTATACTCCTTTATACTTTATACACACACACACACACACACACACACACAGACACACACACACACACACACACACACACACACACAAATAATAAGATAGCTGTGTCTCATGTAGAAATCTTTCTTCTTCTATTTTATATCCCATAGTCTCAATGGCTTTTCCACTTAACAATCTTCTAATTGTCATGTCTTTCTCAAGGCTTACTAACAATCCCTACTTCTTTCTTTTATGAGTCTGGGCAAGCTTCAAGACTAAGGCAAAGCTGAGACAGTAGAAAGGGCCCAGGACACCCACAGCTGGAAGTGTGAGGATGCTGGGAGCTGTCAGAATTTAGTTGTTCATAGAAGGAGAAATTCATGTCCACAATTCAATCTTTCCCTTTTGAAAATAACATAATACACTGCTCAAAGAGTTTAATGTCTTCTTTCAATAATTTCTTAAAACTTTTTTGACTTCTTTTATTTTTTTCTTTACAGAGAAAGCAATGGTAAAATTAAATTTAAACATTATGGTAAATGTTGAGTTTTCGATGGAGCAACATCTTCCTATGGATCTTATTATGATCACAGGTTTGCCCTGAAGTCTAAAGTGAATTGGAGATTTTGTCATCAGGTTCTCATGGCCTTAGAAGATTGGGTGACTCTCTGTGTAGGATACAGAGTAGAAGACTGGGCTGTCACTGTTCTTTTTACTTCTGGGATCCTGAGATTTCAATGTTTTACATTCTATGGTCAACTACTTAATGACACCTAGTAATCCAAAATCTCCATTTTACATTCTGTAAACTGACAACTTAAAACAATCAATACCCTTGTTGTAGTTCTTAATAAAGTCTTAAAGTACACTATTTATCAAGTAAATCTTTTGTTGGATGGAAAGACCCCCCGGTGTTTAGCAAAGCTTGGCAATCTTGGAGAGAATTTAAGTTTGGTTTCATATATCCATGTTAGGTGACTTATCAACTCCACCTCTAAGGAGATCTCATACCATCTTCAGTACACTTTGGAACCTGCACAGACATATTATACACACACACACACACACACACACACACACACACACACACACACACACACAAATCTTTTAAAAACAATGCTCTTTGCTTCTTTGGATACCGAGGTAACCCAAACACATACTTTTGACAAATACCAAAGATGAACTTGAAAGTAAAGTGCTGATTTTTGAATAGTATCTGCAGGAATGACCTTTTTCTGGAAATAACTCTTGCCTGAGGAGTTGACCCTTTTGTGTTTTGACCTTGCAACGATGTTGACCATGTGCATTAAGACTATTTATTCTTAAACAGTATTGTCCCTCTCTTCTTTGTGAACCTTCCATGACCCTGAGCTAGAACGATATATGAGTGTATTATGTTAGCTATTCCCCTGAAGCAGCAGGTTGAAAGCAGCCTTGAAAAAAAATATGTAATAGAAAAGATTGAAAGCAACATGTGGTTCTATGTTGATAAAATGTTTTCAGTCAAGTGCTATTAAGGAAACCCTTCACTTTTGAAATCTTTTGAATGCCTTACCTCTTTAATCATTTACAGTCACTCTGTATTCTACCTATACATGCACATATATGAATATATATGTATTACCATAATACACCTATATGTGTGTGTATATGTGTGTGTTTACTGTATGGTATGTGATATGAGAGAATATTAGTACCAGAAACCCATGTTTGCCTCAGCTGAAATCACTGGGGAGAGCCAGAATATCCAGCAAATTGTTGCCATGAAATAGCATACCTTGTGAATGATATATTATTTACAACATTAGACCCTATGAAAAGGCAAAATCAGAGAAGAAAGCAAAAATGTGAGACAGAGGAACCCCATTTTGTTCAAATACCAGGTTTCATGCACTATTCAATAAACAGGGGACAATGACTTTGCTGAGGACACATGGAAGATGCAGAAGTAGAAAAATCAGCTTGGGTTTGCTCTTGATAGAAATTAAAAAGAGGAAGAATCTGTTTTGATATAGCATAACTAATATTGGTGCCACAACTGAAGAAGAGCTCCTTTGTTCAGAACTCATAGAATCAGCCTAGAAAAGTCCCAGGCACAGGGAGACACAGATGTGCAAATCAGTATGCTTTCACTAAGTGACTATTAATTTTTTTTAAACTTAAATCATAGTTTAGATATTATGAAAGTGAATTGCAGGGCATTAAACTTTTAAATGCCTACCATTTTAATAGCTGAGTATACTCATTATGTAAATGTAACACGATTTCTTTATTCATTCTTCAATTGAGGGACAGCTTGGTTGTTTCTAGTCTGGCTGTTATGTGTAAAGCTGCTTTGAACATAGCTGAGCAAGTGTTCTTGTGGTAAAGTGTCCTTGTGGTACAGTGGAGCATCCATCCACTGGGTCTATGCCCAGGAAAGGTATAACTGGTTTTTGAGGTACAACATTTCCCAATTTTCTGAGAAACCACCATATTGATTTCCAAAGTGGCTGTACAAGTTTTCACTCCCACCAGCAAAGGAGGAGTGTTCTCTTTGCTCCAGATCCTCTCCAGCATGATCTGTTGCTTGTGTTTTTAATCATAGCCATTCTGACACTGTAATATGGAATCTCAGTCATTTGCATTTGTATTTCCCTGAGTGTTAATTATGCTGAATATCTCCTTAAATGTTTCTTGACCATTTGAGATTCTTCCTTGAGAATTCTCTGTTTAGACCTGTCCCCTATTTTTCAATTAGATTATTTGACATTTTCACGTTTGGTGTCTTGAGCTCTTTATATATTTTGGAGATCAGCCCTCTGTCAGATGTGGGTTTGGTGAAGAGCTTTTCCCATTCTGTAGGCTACCATTTTGTCTTTTGACAGTATCCTTTGTCTTACAGAAGCCTTTCAGTTCCATGAGGTCTCATTTAGTAATTGTAGATCTCTCAGCTATTAAAAACAATGATATCATGAAATTTGCAGGCAAATGAAGGGAACTTGAAAAAAATTTATCTTGAGTAAGGCAATCCAGACCTAGAAAAATAACCATGGTATGTACTCACTTATAAGTGAATATTAGCTGCAAATTAAAGGATAACCATGCCACAATCCACAGACCCAGAGAGCTAAGTAACAAGGAGAGGTCAAAGGAGAACAATGGACATCCCTGGGAAGGACAAATAGAATAGACATCTAGGGTGGAGGAGGGGTGGCATGGATAGGAACAGGTTGGGGGAGGATGGAGGGAGAGTGTACTGGGAGAGTCAACTGGAATTGGGTGCATCTCAGGAATGAGCTGGAAACCTAGTGCAATGGAAATTCCCAGGAATCTACAAAGGTGACCCTAGCTCAGACTTTTAGCAGTGGGGATTACAGAACCTGACCTGGCCATGTCCTGTAAACAGGAAAGATTTCTAGTCCAGGAATTGGGACATCAATCCAGGCATATAACCTTCAGCCTACAAGATGTGCTGGGGCACATGCAGCACAGAAATTGTGGGAGTGGCCAACCAATGACTGGTCCAGCTCTAGACCCATGCCAGGAGAGGGAGCCCATATCTGACACTGCCTGGAGGGCCAGGAAACAGAAGGTGGATAGCCCAGAGACCTAGGATAGAACCAAACAAGCCTGGGAACAAAAATAAAATGATTCCTATTGATACTCTGCTCTACTCTTAAATTGGTGCCTAGCCTTATTTCCATCAGAAGTTTCATTCAGCAACTAATGAAAACAGATGCAGAGTCCCACAGCCAAACATAAGCAGACTTTGGGAATCTTGCAGAAGAGGGGGAGAAAGGATTGTAGGAGCCAGACGGGTCAAGAACACCTCAAGAAAAACCCACAGAATCAACTAATTTGGGTCATTGGGGCTCATAGAGAATGTACTGACAACCTAGGAGCCTGCATGGGACTGACCTAGGCCCTCTTTATATATGTTAAAGTTGTATAGCTTGGTCTTCTTGTGGGACTCCTAACAGTGTGGAATCAGGGGCTGTCTCTTTCACTTTTGCCAGCTTTTTAGATCCTTATCCACATACTGGGTTGCCTCATCCAGCCTTGAACTTGATATTCCATGTTTAATTGATATCCATGGGAGGCTTGCCTCCTCTGAATATAAACAGAGCATGAGTGGATGTAAGGGCAGAGGGGAGATGGGGGGAAGGACTGGAAGAAGAAGAAGAAGAGGAAGAGGAAGAGGAAGAGGAAGAGGAAGAAGAAGAAGAAGAAGAAGAAGAAGAAGAAGAAGAAGAAGAAGAAGAAGAAGAAGAAGAAGAAGAAGAAGAAGAAGAGAAAACAGTGGTGGTGATGTAAAAATATATATGTAGCGTGCATGCACATGTAAAAATATATATGTAGCGTGCATGCACATACACGCACACGCATTTAAAAGCCTATTATCTAGCAAGGAAAACAGTTCTAATTAAAAATGCTATTTTATTTGAAAAACTGCAATTGTTGTTGTGGTATTTATATACAATGATGCTGGCCAAGGGATATGATTCAATGATTTGTTCTTAGTAAATAAACATAAATATATAGCTATCAGCATGACTGCTTGTAGACCATTTAAATCATTCTAAAATCTCTTATAT